CTCGTCCAGGAAGTAAATTCTACGGTTTTGGCTCCTGTATGTTTTTATTTTTGTCAAATACTCTCTCCTCCATAGTATAATTTCATCTCTATCCATCAATGAACTGTTTCGGCCTCTCTTCTGCCAATTGAAGTTGAGTTCCATTAATAGCCTGTAGAACGTCGTTTTACTAAAATTCGGCAAATCTGAGTCTTCATTCACTACTTTCAAAATCTTATCAATTGTAGGAATTTCATTCTGGAAAAAGAATTCATGAACCTTCCTTCTGATCGCATGTCTGTCAGCATCATCTATTTCTTTAATTTGGCTTTTACGGTTCTGATTCGTTTTAGGTTCAGCAAATGCATTCCGTAATTTATATTCTTTGAGTAGAGGAGAGGAACCAAATTTGAGATACTTTTTTTGTGAAGGGAAAATAAAATACTTTTTGTTTTAAACAAGGTTATATATTTAAATAAACTTGCGATTTTATGCTCCTAGCATACTCTAAACTAAAAAAAATAACTATAAATGTTTTCGTTTACAGGCGAAAAGTGTATTTAAATAAAAGTAAACATTTTTGTAGATTTACAGCTGGTTCCCTAATTTGAGATAGATAGTTATCCAAATTTGAGATAGGTACCCTTATTTAAGATACTATTCGAAAAACCCCTTCCCTTCACAGAAAGTGCAAATGAAAATTTTATTGGCAATCTCTCCACAATCTTCATGTGCCCATCTACTACAATGGCTGCATTTGGCCCATTTTTCGCCCTTCTTATCTTCAGAAAATCGACCCGTACAAAATAAGCATTCAGCATCGCTTCCACCGCTTTCGTCTGAGGATAAATCATCCAACTTAAGGCTTCCGCTAGATTCTGAACTTGAACTGGAGTGGGAAGGTATCCGAATCCTTTTGGACCTTTTAGCACTAGATGTAGAAGGCTGGTTCTGGTTGATTGACCTATTAGCTCCAGATGTGGAGGGTTGATTTTGTGTGGATATGCTATTTTGGTTTAAATTAGCATCCAATTTTTTTTTGGGAATTGCTTTCATCTGTCTTTTCTCTAAGCTTGCCTGCAACTCTTTCTTATATGGCGTGTGAGTAATGACTACTGCCTTTCCTGATCTTCTGCTCACTGTATTTTGTTTTTTATATGAGGGCAAAGGACAAATATCGGTTGGAGAGACTAATTTAAATTGTATTTGTTGTTCTAAATTCGGGCTAGGTGTTCGTTGTTGCACTCTAAATTCTACAGTGTCTACGAAATTAGTGATGCTTGCAATTTCGTTTGCGATAGAAGTACTTGCATCTTGATTCACTAGATTATCACCTGTGAAATCAGCAGAAGTAGCCGCATTCTCATGTATTTGCTGTGCTGTATCATCACCTTGATGGTCTACTTCACAGGGATCTACGGTGTCAATCCGATCTTCCACCCGATGAACGCTAAAATCGGAATCTCTAAAAATATTTCTGTTGATAGGCACCAGTCCTGTTTTCCGAAATCCATTACAAGAGGTTTCCATTGTAGCAGCTCGATTGTAAGCTTTGCAAAAAATGCTAGAAATTGCATATGGGGAAACAGTACTTAGCTGATTCTCTCGAAGCCAATTCTCTATTTCCTGTGCATAGAAAGTCTTTAATGGTGACATAAACGAGACATCTAATGGTTGCATCTTGTTTGTTGAGTGTGGTGGAAGACATATTATTGCCACATGATTTTGTTTTGCTAAATCTATCAGGTCAATGTTCCTTGTGTGAGAATAATGACCATCTAATACTAAAAGAACTGGATCAGAAGCAGTAGGCTTTGTAAATTTTATAAAGTGATCTAACCATCGGGTAAAAATATCTGCCTGTACCCAACCTGATATATGGCATTCCGCAATTGCTCCATTTGGGGCTCCTAACATTAGCTCTGTTTTCATATTTTTTCTGGGGAAGATTAACAGTGGTGGTACATACACGCCTGAAGCGTTCATACAAGTAATTACTGTGACCAATTTACCCCTCTCTGCTGAAGTAAGTGATGCAATCTGCTTCTTTCCTCTAAGAGAGAGAACCTTAGTGTGCTTATGTTGAACCACAGTAATACCCGTTTCGTCTACATTGAATATCCTGTGAAAAGGATTTAGAATTTTGTTATATTCGGCCTCATATAGGTCAAAAAAGCTTGAGACTTTCTCAGGGGTGAAAAACTTTATACGAGCAGCTGACATGCCTTGTGGCGTTCTCATGGATAGCTGAGGATGTCTTTTTAGAAATAGTCGTAGCCATTTCTTTCCTGCTGATTTTTTAAGTCCATTAAAAGGATGAGATATGCTATTTCGTAACGCAAGCTGGAATGCCAAACGCTTTATATCACGCGCACGTAAGCCAAAAAAATCGCTCTTCCATAGCTAATGCATATTGTACTAACTGATTTTCAAGTTCAGGGGAAAGAATAGTCTTGCGACCAATTGGTGTGTCTACAAGTTCTCTTGGATCCTTACCGGATCTAACATATCTTTCTACGGTCCCTTTAGGTACTCCAAAAACTTTTGCGGCTTTCAAATAACCCATCTCCTTATTCTTTACAGCTTCGATGGCCTTTATCATGTCATTTGGGTTCCACTTTTTGTGTTTCGGTGGCATCTGCAATATAAAAAAAATAAAAGATAATCTCTTGATACAGGGCCCTTATTTGAGATCATCATCAAATTAGGAATTTTCCGTTAAGAAGTTCAAACAAGCATATTTAGGTTATGTAATAAAATAAAATCACAATATTGAAAAAGAAAATAAATAAGGTATTTGTAAGCTACTAAATTTATATCAGACAAGTGTTCTAAGTATCTTACCTCACTTTTAGTAATCACTTTTCTCGCACTATTAAAAATATTTTCGACTCTGAACAAGCAACAAGTTGTGATGTCTCAGCAAACCATGTGCAAAACTAGACTGTAAACACATCTAGAATACTACTGCGTCTTAGTTCAACACTTTTTGGTATTACTAGAAGATGGCGCTACATAGATTCAAAGTTACACCACTGTCTCAAATTAGGCGCCTGTCTCAAATTTGGTTCCTCTCCTCTACTCTAAATACCGATGCACGAGAAACTCCAACTTTATTCGCCACCCTCTGCACAACATCGTTGATGCTGAGCTCAGGTTTTTCCTCCGTTTCACATTTGTAAACATTTAAAATAATTTCTTTCACTTCGATGCTCAAATGGTTTTGTCTTGATCGTTTCCTGGGTGGACTCAATGTAGTTCTCCCTTCATCAGCTGTGTCGGTAGAAGACATGGTCAAAAAACACCAGATATACCAGAACTTATAACAGCGATGCACTCGACACCACGCCACGGCCTGATTACAACTCTGGTTTTTGTAGACATCAACGCGGCGCAACAGCGGGTTTTGTATTGCTACAGTCTAACTAGGTCTTAAAAAATGTTCGAAACTGCATGTTTTCCAAATTCATGGAGTTTTATATTGGAGCCACTTTAGGACATTGTATTTAACAAAAGCATCAATATGAGGGGCGGAAAGTTTAAAAAAAGAAAAATAAAAGCTACGAAATGAAACTATTAGTTGAAAAAGCAAGCGCTTCAAACTACAACTTCAAACCGTAAAATGCCTGAACTATAATGAGACCCTCTGCGGGAACATCGATCACGCGCTGATCACGCTTCGAGTTTGTGATGTTGTGGTCTCACTTGGGCTGAATTTTAGTATAGAAACCGGATGGACGGCGCTAATCACAAGGGCATCAGGACGGTGTTAGCCGTACCGTTGCAATGGTAATCATCAGGATTCCATAACTTATACCGTCGGTAAGCGGCCCCCGTAGCAGGCCCGCCGCTAACTGTTTGTTCGCCCGCGTGCAATACCGATATTTGCCGCCCTACGGCCGGTTGCACACATGGCGGATTTTGCCGCGGCGGACAATTGACCGTCGCCGCCCACAGAGTTAGCCACATATACATACACGGCAGTTGTCACCGCCGCACACTCTGTTTTTGCTGGATTCGCGACTTGACCGCGGGTGGAGTTGTTTACACGGAAATAGCTGCGTTTTTATCGAAATATATAATATTTTGCAAATGAACAGAAAACAACTCATAGCTTTATTGTTATTCCGTCGTCGAATGAAAAGAAGAGGAAACAATCGGCTCATATGGGTTCATCCAATTAATAAAATGAGGCAGAAAGTTGGGACCTTCTACACATTATTTGAACAGTTAAGGAACGATGACACAAAATTCTTCAATTACTTCAGAATGTCGATTACATCCTTTGACGAACTGCATGAGCGATTAAAAGATAGCATTCAGCGCAAAAATACGAAAATGAGGAATTGCATTCAGCCCATAGAAATGCTGGCAATAACACTGAGGTACGTAAAAATTTAAATTTACTGTTTTTTCCTTAATTTTTATTTGAAATAATTATGAATGGAATAATATAATAATACAATTGGTAATTCAGTACCGTTAAAAATTAACATTTTAGATTCATTGATACTTCTTTAAGGTGTGTATCCACCGAAAAAGCGAGCATAAGCGAGCAAGCATGCTGCATCAATAATCGACTAGTGAACGCGAACAAAGAAATGTTTGTTCCCACTAGTCGATTGTTGATGTATAATGCTTGCTCGCTCATGCTCGCTTTTTAGGTGAATATGCACCTGAATATTCGTTTATAAAAAATGGCAAGAAAATGCTGAGAATAATAATATTGATGCCTAATGATAGTAATAGTTAAAATAGAAACTTGTGTTTTACATTTGCTGCGGTATATGGCACGTGGCAATAGGAAAATGTTGGGTTATTAAATATCGCCGTTGATCGGGCTAAGTAGTGTGAGCGTCAAAAAAAAATCAAATTGATTTTGAGCACACCAGAAGCTTCCTAGTTTGTTAATATACGATCTGGCATACATATAAGACAGATTTGAAATTTTGACGCTTCGCCACTTTGCCAGATCAGCGACGATATACAACATCTAATATAATGTAGAATACAATGTAGAATTAGAAGTTGGAGTCCATTATGCTAGAATTTTGGGAAACCACTGATGAACTTCTTGCACAGTCGTCTTCCTCAAGGAAGTCAGAAAAGTTTTCGTAGTGGTCAGCTGCTGTAACTCCTTTGTCGTACATTGATGGGGCTGGTGATGTGGGCAGGTCATTTTGAGGAGAAGGTGAGGGTGTCGGTGTTGGTGAAGCTGGAGGTTGTGGGCGAGACGGAATCAGAGTTATGAAAGTTTTGTGATTTTTTTGCCTTGGTTGGTATCGAGGAGTAGACAGGTCATTTTGAGAAAGTGAGGAAGTCGATTTTGGATCAAAAGGTGGAGGTTGTTGGGGATACGAATATGAAGTTGTTAAAGGTGGGTGATTTTGCCTTGGTTGGAGTGGTTGAGTAGGTAGTGCATGTTGAGAAGAAACTGACGGAAGCGATGGTGGGTCGTTAAGTTGGAAATGTGGCTGGCGTGAGTTGGACGAATTATTCTTAGGAGTTGTGAAACATTGTTGAGGTGACTGTGGAAAGGTTTGTGGTTGGTAATGGTATGGCATTGATTGACTCTGCTGCTGAAACTGGGGAGCGCGTTGTGTAGTGTAGCCTTGAAGAGCTGCGTACTTTTGATTCTTAATGTTAGAAATGACCTGTAGAACCTCCATTTGGAATTGAAGCCATTGATCACTATCAAAAGTCTCTGTGTGCAGCAGCAGACTTTGAAAGAAGGACATTTATGAGTTTGGATTCTCAGGTTCTTTGTTTTCCAGTGCATTTAAAATCTTCAAATCTACTTCGTCGAGTTTCTTACGTCTTTTTGGTGGTTGACCATTGGAAAGAGCTTTCTCCTTTCTTACTGTTGATTGGCGTATTTCATGTTGTGTGTTCTGCGGGCTCTCAGGAGGTTGGTGGCCAGAGGCGTCGATTTCCTTGTTGTCTTTTGTGACGAAACTCTCTGTAGTCTCTTATCATATATTTTTTTCAAGAACTGCAGTTCGTCGTTATATATGTATTTTTTTATTTTGGTAGCTTTAGCGCCACTAGTTTTGCTTTGCTCTGCCTTCTTTTCAGCTTTTGCGAAGGCGTCACGTAGATGTTTCCATCGTTTCAAAACTTCCTTGCCTACAAAAGAAACACATTTATTTCGGTCTACATTAGCTAGCTGCAATCGGTGCGATAGAGTTCTTTTAGCAAACTTAAAAGTTTAAGCAAGCAATATACAGATTGTTACAAAAAGGTAGGTCAATCCGTTAATCACAGATTATTATCCTCCTGACCGATATACTGGGTGTTGAAACCACATTTTAACTAGACTCGTATTTGTTTGAAGTCTCTTATAATGACGAAACATATTGTTGTGCTGATTAATTTTATCAGTAGTTTATTTTTTTATTTAGATTTTTGTTTTCAGACATCTAGCAAGTGGATGTACTTTCACCGATCTTCATTATTCCTTCAGAGTAGGGATCTCAACAGCAAGAGTAATAGTTAGAGATGTTTGTCAAGCACTGTGGAAGGTTATGCATAGCGAGTGCATACCTTCCCCCACCAAGGCAGTTTGGGAATCAGTAGCAAATGGCTTTGAACAAGCAGCAAATTTTCCTCATTGTATAGGGGCAGTAGACGGGAAACATATCCGCATCGTCAATCCAGTACATAGTGGATCTATGTATTTTAATAATAAAGACTACCATTCAATTGTGCTAATGGGTATTGCAGATAGCAAGTACCGTTTTGTTTTTATGCACGTTGGTAGCTATGGCAAAGAATGTGACTCATCCGTGTTTAAACAGACTCAGCTGTGGAAATCAATAGAAAGCAGTTCAAACAATCTTCCTGAAGAGAAGTGTCTACCAGGCACAGAAGGTCCGAAAGTGCCATATTTTATTGTTGGGGATGCAGCATTTGGGTTACATAAACATTTGCTACGGCCCTATGGTGGGACACATTTAACCGTGGAAAAGAGAATCTTCAACTATCGATTATGTCGAGCAAGAAGGTATATCGAATGCGCTTTCGGTATTCTCAGCAACAAATGGAGAATATTTCATCGACCCTTGAACGTCCAACCAGAACTTGCTAATGATATTGTTAAAGCTTGCATTATTCTCCATAACTATGTTAGAGACAGAGACGGATACAGGATTGAGGATACAACGACAATCATAGGGCTAGAAGAAGTTCAAGGAGAGAATACTACAAGAGGAGGTGTTCGAGCAAATAATATAAGAAACATTCTATGTCAAAATTTTGTTTCAAGTGTAGGAAGTGTTCCATGGCAGATGTCCAAAATTTAAAAGGTCATTCTGATAAATAACCATCAGATTCTGACAGTTTATAATTATAATAATAGTATAAAAAAACAACTAGAAAACAAAAATCACGACACATTTTTAATTTGTTAAACACAATTTTGAACGTTACTATCACTCAGTCTTAAAAGTGTAACAAATTGTAATAAACAGGTTAGCTCTATTTTTGAGCAAAACAGAAGAACGATTTGCGATTTCGTTGTTCTTATCCGCTACTGCCAATACAATTGGAAAATGCTATACTTCCTACAAGACAAAGATGAAGAATACTTCATCATATGAAGTGTCAGTGGTCAGTTTTACTCGCTATAAATGCTAAATTTCCCTAAATTGAGTCTTTTTTATGCGTATTTGCATTAGGCAATTAATCAAAATAAAATATCAATGTTCACATATTTGGTGTAATATACTTAGGCATAAATAATAGGACTAGGATACCTTGTTTTGTACTGTTTATTGTTGAAATTTATCTATTAAGCGTTAAAAAATAAGAAAACATAAAAGTCCTGCATTAGATTTTCAACGATATTTTCACCTTTATACTCCAATATTATATGTATTTAATAATTTTTTTATTGTTTAATAATTTTCGGCTCTAGATAATAATATTCGCATATAAATTCACGCCTTTGGGTATACCTTTTGCATATTTTTAATGTTAATTTTCAACGAGTTTTGAGCAAAAATGGGCGTAGCAACCAATTTTTTTTTGATTTAATATCTTGCATGATAATAAATAAGTAGATACTTACCAAAAACAGATCTATCTTTTTCAGTCAATTGATCAAAGTCGCTATGCAATCCCAGGCAAACTTCACGCCAAGCGTTTCTCGTGGCATTTCTGTCCTTAAATATGTCGAGGGTTTTATCCCACAAGACAGATCTTTCTTCGATTAATGAAATTAAAATATCATTATCTATAACCAGATCTGCAACCACGTCACTCATGTTGCTATTTATTATACCTAAAATCGGAACTGTTCCTTTTTCAAAATTTGCAAATCTTTTTAAAAATCAAAACACCCTGGAATAAACTAATCCAACGGTAGAATAACCGACGTGTGTGCAATCGTGCATTTGGTCACGTAGGCCACTACTGGGCGTCGACGGTAAAAAAAACGTCGGCTCCAGTGGCAGTTGGCGTTTGCACCGCTACCGCTAACGGCAAATTGACGGATCGTTTATTTGTCCGCCTAATGTGTAATCTCTAATCTACTCCAGAGCGCCACTGCTGAATCGGCGGCGACGGTCAAATGTCCGCCGCGGCAAAATCCGTCGTGTGTGCAACCGGCCGTAGACTACAAATTACGCTGAGTTTTGTTAAAAAAGGCTTTTTAATGTTTTTTTCATCAGGTAAAGGTAGGAAGGTAAAAAGAAATAAATCTTAATGAATATAAAACATTTATTTTGATAAGGTACTCAGTAATGATATTTCTTTGCCATATATCTATTACAAAAACTTAACTCTTCTTGCCTTTATACAGGGTTATCCAAATTAAGTGTCCACCATTGGTAACTTTGTTATTAGTAAAAATACAAAGTTGTTTAAATTAGCAAACTAGTAGCATTTTTAACGCTGGTAAAAATGAGAAATAAAAAAAAACAATTGAGAGTCGTTATTTTGTTTTTTTTCAGTAAAATAACATTTTTTTAAATGGAAACCCCTGTATATTATATTTTTTTCTATTAAAGCATCAAATTTTAAACAAAAAAGTTCATAATGACTTTTCCGCTAAAGTCAAAATAACGATAAATATTTTTAATTATTTGCAGTATTATAATATTAAGACGGCTATGAAAACAACATGGCGTTCGCGATTTGACAGCATTAAGATAAGCGACAAATTGTTAAACTGGACATACTCGCAACTAGAAGGCTTTGGAAAACAATGATAAAATCAAATAATGTCAAACATTAGTGTAAATACTTGTTTATAAGCTTTATTGTGTCATTAATTTAAAGAAAAATGTTCTCCCATGAAGAAAAGTGTGATATGTTAGAATGCTATTTAGTGTGCAGAAAATCCTCCTTGAGAGCAAGAGAATACTACAGTGAATTATATCCCGCTCGCATTCAACCGTATGAACGATATTTTCTGAGACTTTATCGAAAATTTAGGGGCAACGAAAATGTTTTTGCTAAAACAAGGGCAAAAAAAGAATTCATAATAAGCGAGGCCACGGAAATTGCAGTTATTGGATATTTTGAAGCTTATCGTGAGAATTCAATAGCAGATATTCTCAAGGACTCTAATTTCAGTTATGGTACTGTTCAAAGGATTTTAAAAAAATACAAATTTATTCCGTATAAGTACCGACCAGTTCAAACGCTTTTGGCAGGGGATCCAGAGAGAAGACTTGTTTTTTGCCATTGGTATCTTAGCTTCTGTCGCCAAAATGTAAATAACTTTCGTTACCTTTTATGGACAGATGAATCAAATTTTTCAAATTCTGGAATGTTTAATAGAAAAAACCACCATTATTGGTCAAGAGAAAATCTTTTGTTAGTACATCCAAGAGGCCCACAAGTCCGTTTCAGTTTCAACGTTTGGTGCGGTATAATTGGTTCAAAAATTGTTGGCCCGTTCTTTTATGAGGGAACCCTAACTGGTGAAAGATATGTGGAATTTATGTCAGAAATTCTGACTAATTTCTTAGACGAATTGGATCTTATAAGTAGACATCATCTGTATTTTCAGCAAGATGGCGCACCTGCCCACAACTCCAGAGGTACTTATCATTTTCTAAGTACTACTTTTAATGATCAGTGGATAGGAACAAATGGCCCAATACAGTGGCCTCCCAGATCACCAGATCTAAACCCACTTGATTACTTCTTGTGGGGTTACTTAAAGAACCAAATTTACAAGCGAAGGTACGATAACCTTGACGCGTTAAAGACTGCAGTTAGGGAAAAGATAACCCAGATAGATGGTAGGACCATACTTAAGACAGTTCGAGCAGTTGAAAAACGTGCCCAAAAATGTATTGAAGAACAAGGTGGTGTTTTCGAGCATCTTCTTTAAAAAAAATTGTTATTGTATTTTGTAAGATTATAAGTTGATGTTGAAAATAAAGTTTGTCGATACAATTTAATTGTTTCAGATTGGAGGCCATAACTTCAACAATTTGTAACCTAGGAGAAAAGTTATTGTAAGCTTTTTTGTTTAAAATTTGATGCTTTAACAGAAAAAAATATAATATACAGGGGTTTCCATTTAAAAAAATGTTATTTTACTGAAAAAAATCAAAATAACGACTCTCAATTGTTTTTTTTTATTTCTCATTTTTACCAGCGTTAAAAATGCTACTAGTTTGCTAATTCAAGCAACTTTGTATTTTCACTAATAACAAAGTTACTAATGGTGGACACTTAATTTGGATAACCCTGTATTTGCGAAATCTTCTATCAACTTTCTTGT